TCCATGTTAATTAAATGAAGTTTTGTTTTTCATAATAACCTTTGATCTGGCACCGTGTCAAATGCGTCCTGGAAATCCAAGTAAATTAGATCTACACTCTCCCCTTTATCCATAGCGGCTGTTACTTCTTCGAAGAGCTGCAATAATTTGGTTAAACTTGATTACCCTTTCATAAAACTACACTCAACATCGAATACCTTGAGTTTTTCTCAGTGTACAGCTGTAGTTTCTTTAATGTTTGACTCACTGCTGCTCTTTATATTCTGTCCAATCATTTGACCAGCCACTCATTTTTTTCAGTTATAGGGTTTTTTCCTTAAGTTTGATGCTTTCCCTAACTACTTTATTTAACCGTGGATTGTGGGTAGACCTTTTTGAATTTTTCTTTATAGGAGGAAAATAGCTCCTTAAATGCCTGTCACAGTTTCTCTAACTTTAAGACCATAGGACATAGGAGTAGAAGTAGCCCACTGAATCTGCTCCATCATTCAATGAGACTACAGCTGATATGAGAATTATTGACTCCACTTTCCTGCCTTTTTCCCCATAATTCCCTCACTGATTAAAAATCTATCTCAGCCTTGAATATACTTATAATCCCTAGACTAGGATGCCAGTTCACTTAGGCTAACCTAGCTTTCATGGCCAGTAGTTGCCCTTACTTAGGTTTAAAAGAGGGCATTAATTAATCCTGTCACATTACACAATACCAGGTCCATTTTGGTCTGCTATAAAAGCAATATAACTTCAGGCACAGCAGATAAGGGAATGATATGAGAAGGGGGGTAGTTAACGAAAGACCGAAGGTGTTGTACTTAACGGCACACAGTGTATGAGAAAAGGTAAACAAGATTGCAACACAGATTGAAATTGGCAGATATGTTGTTGTGAGTATTACAGAGATGTGTTTGCAAAGGGATAAGGGATGGGATCCTCAGTATTTTTCTTCTTCCTTGGGGATGAATTTCTGACATGCCTCCCAAATGACCTCCAGAAAATCCAGTGCTGCTCTCCCTGATAGGCTCCCTTCCAATCAACTTTGGCCAACTTCTCCTTCACGTACTTGTAGTTACCGTTCCTCAATTGTAGAACAGTTAACACAGTATGGAGCTGGAGGAACACAACAGGTCAGGAAGCATCAGAGAAACAGGAAAGTCGATGTTTTGGGTCGGGACCCTTCATCAGAACTCTGCTGCCTGACCTGCTGTGTTCCTCCAGCTCCACACTGTGTTGACTCTGACACCAACATCTACAGTTCTTGCTATCTCTGTAAAACCCATACATCTGATTCCAGCTTCTCCTCTCAAGCTGCAGGGTGGATTCTATCATATTGTGGTCACTGCCCTCTAGGGCTTCCTTAAACCCTAATCAAGTTTGCCTCATTACACATCACCAAATCCAGAATAGCCTGTCCCCCAGTGGGCTCTATGACAAGCTGCTCCAAAAAAATTCTCATAGGCATTCCACAAATACTATACTCAATGTACTGACGAATAAAGGGAAGCATACCAAATGCCTTCTTCACTATCCTGTCTACTTGGGGCTCCACTTTCAAGGAACTATGAACCTGCACTCCAAGGTCTCTTTGTTCAGCAACATTCCCCAGGCATTTGTGGTATCTATCAGGAATTACTGAAGTCAGGAAGAGTCTCAGAAAACTGGAAAATAGCTAATGTAACACCCCAGTTTAAGAAAGGAGGGAGGCAGAAGACAAGAAACTATAGGCTGCTTAACTCGATCTCCGTCATTGGCAAGATTTTACAGTTTTAGGATGACTTTCCATTCTGAGGAATGTAACTACAAAGGGAGGAAAGTCACCAACGGCCAGTCATTTCAGCCTGAAAATAGACCCTGCTACCAATGTAAATGCTAAGTAAGTGTTGCTTCATGAGGTGATAATTCCTGCTGTTTTGCAAAATGGAAGGAGCAGTGAAATTTAATACAGGAAAATACTCGGACACTACTGGGGGCGACTTCTTCATGCAGAGAGTTTTGCGTGTTTGGAATAAGCTGCCAGAGGAAGTGGTGGAGGCTGGTACAATTTACAACATTTAAAAGGCATCTGGATGGCTATGTGAATAGGAAGAGTCTAGAGGAATATGGGCCTGAATGCTGGCAATGGGACTAGATTTATTTTAGGATGGTTGGCATGGACGAGTTGGACCAAAGGGTCTGTTTCCATGCTGCACAGCTCTATGACTCTATGACTGTGGAGTACTTGGAAATCCATGGTAAAATAGGGCTGAGTTAGCAAGGCTTCATCAAGGTCATGCCTGAGAAATCTGTCAGAATCTTTTAAGGAGCTAACAAGCAAGTTAGACAAAGGAGAGACTGTGGATGTGATATATTTAGATTTCCAGAAGGCCTTTGACAAGGTGCCATATAGGAGGCTGCTAAATAAGATGAGATGTTAGGGGCAAGCTACTGGTATGGATAAAGGATTAGCTGACAGGTAGAAGGCAGATAGTAGGGATAAAGGTGTCTTTTTCAGAATGGTAGCTGATGACTAGTGGAGTTCCTCAGGGATCAGTATTGGGACCATAGTTATTCACACTTTACATTAATGATCTTGTTGAAGAAATAGAGGACATTTTTGCTAAGTTTGCAGATGACACAAAGATAAGTGGAGGGACACTTAGTGAAAAGGAAGCAGTGAGACTGTGGGAAAGTGTGAAGTTGTGCACTTTGGAAGAAAGAATAGCGGCATAGATGATTTTCTAAACCGGGAAAGGCTTTGGAAATCTGAAACACAAAAGGTCATGGGAGTCCTCGTTCAGGATTTTCTCTAGGTTAACATGCAGATTTCAGTTGGCAGTTAGGAAGGCAAATATAATGTTCACATTTGTTTCAAGAAGGTTGGAATATAACAGCAGAGATGTACTGTTGAAGCTGCATGAGACTCTGGTCAGGCCACATTTGGAATATTGTGGGCTGTTTTAGGCCCTGCATCTAAAGAAGGATGTGTTGGTCTTGGAGGGGGTCCAGAGGATATTTACAAGAATGATCTTGGGGATGAAGGGCTTGTCATATGAGGAGTCCGTGCCTGTACAGGTATTTCTACTATACCGTGAACTGGCTGTAACGTGATTGATGAATAGTGCACACTGCTTGGATAACGCAAACTTTCTACTGTATAGTATAGTGATTTTCTATAGCGAATTCCCTATAACGCAATTTTCTATGGTAATTTTCTTTAGCGCAAGGTTGCACAAGAACACAACAATCATGTTGTAGGAGAAATGCTTGTACTTGGAATTTAGAAGGTTGAGGAGAGATCTTATTGAAACTTACAGAACCAGTTAGAGTGGACGTGGAAAAGATATTTCCGCCTGTAGGAAAGACTAGGACCTGAGGGCACAGCCTGAGTGAAGGTACAACTTTTAGAACTGAAATAAGGAGGCATTTCTTCAGCCAGACGGTAGATAATTTGTGGAATTCATCGCCGCAAAGGAATGTGGAGGCCAGGTGATTGAGTGTTTTTAAGCCAGAGATAGATAGGTTCTTGATTGGTGAGGGGATTACGGATAATAGGGACAATGGGTTGAGAAACATATTCAGCACAATCAAATGGCAGAGCATATTATAAAGCTGAAGGGGGTTCAGAAGAGATTTACCAAGATGTTGCTGGGTATGGTAGGTTTGAGTTATAAGAAAAGCTGGATAGGCTGGGACGTTTTCCACTGGAGCATAGAAGGTTGAGAGGTGGCCTGATAGAAGTTTATAAAATAATGACAGGTATAGATAGAGTTGATGGTAGTTGTCTTTTCCCTAAGATAGGGAATTTCAAGACTGGGGCACATCTTTAATGTGAGAAGAGAGAGATTTTAAAAAGACATAAGAGGCAAATATTTTACACAGAGGGTTGTTCAAGTGTGGACGTAGGTACAATTACAACATTTAAAAGCCATTTGGATGGATTTATGAATAGGAAATGTTTGGAGGGATATGGGCCAGGAGCAGGCAGGTGGGACTAGTTTAGTTTGGTATTATGATCGGCATTGACTGGTTAGACCGAAGGGTCTGTTTCTGTTCATGACTCTGTGTTGAATGGCCTAATTCTGCACCTATATCTATGGTCTTATTTGCCACCGATCAGCCCATCTGACAAGTCAATGTCCTTCTGACATATAAGGCTATAAGATTATCGTTCTCACTATTTACTAACCCAACAGTTTCGATATCATCCATAAACTTTGCTATCAACCATCTTATATTCAAGTCTAAATCAATTATATAATCCACAAACAACAAGGGCCAAATATTGATCCCTGCAGAACTCCACAATCAAAAAAGACTCCTCAACCATCAGCATCAATTCTAGTTCTGATGAAGTGTCACTGAATCCAAAATGTTGATTCTGATTTTCTCTGCACAGATGCTGCCAGACCTGCTGAATTTCTCCAGCAATTTCTGTTTTTTGTGTTTTAGCCATCATGCTGCCACTCAGGAAATTCTGGATCCAATTAGCCAAATATCCTGGATCCTATGGGTTCTAACCTTCACTATCGGCCTCCTGTGTCAAAAGCTTCGCTGAAGTCCAACACATCTGGTCATTTCTTTGAAAAAATTCAATCAAGTTGGTGAGATCTTGTACACACTGGTTTAAAGGAAAGCTGTTCTGGGCGTATTTTAAGAATTCTGCTCCCTCTGAATCTTTCACACCTTTCCAGTTAATGTTGGGGAAGCTGACCATCATTACCTTTAGGGTTAATGGGGAAAGGGGCAGGGAAATGTTGATGAGGAACGTTGGGTCAGTAAGGATCAGTCTCGATGGGGTGTTCCTATTTCTAATGGCCTCATTACATTTTGAATTCTGTGCGATGTGCCTCTGTTTGTGTCAGACTCATCACGGGGCTACAGGCATTTCAACGTCCTAGCGCTTCCTACAGCATTCGCCACGGCGCATGCGCGGAGCTCGTAGGCGTACATCTCCCAGGAGGCCGCGAGCACGGAGCATGCGCGACCGCGCCTTGTCTCCATGGTAACGCGGCCTAGTGGCGATGGGTCGAGCCTGCGGCGGGAATGGCGGTGGCCGAGGAGCGTGGCCGGCTTCGGCTGTTGGCGGCTGACATTCAGGCCGCGCTGCGCTCCGGGGTGGCGGTGCCCTCTCTAGCCCGGTGCCTCGAGGAGCTACTCCTCAACAGTCTGGAGGCCGGCTGCGGCTGCGCGGCCGCTCGTGTGAACGCGCAGGCTGGGCGCGTGCAGGTGGCGGATAACGGGGCGGGGCTGGAGCGCGCGGCCCTGGAGCTGGCGGGCACGCGCTACTGCAGTAGGGGTGGGGGTGATCCTAGGTATATGTGTGTTCCCAGGGCAGGGGGTGGCGACGACCCAGGGGGTGGTGGTGACCCAGGGGTTGGTGACCCAGGGGTTGGTGACCCGGGGGGTGAGGGTCCTGGGAGCGGTGGTTGGAAATGTCCCAGGGGAGAAGACGATGGTGATCCCAGCTATCTTGACCTGCCAGGGCCTGGGGCCCGTGGTGAGGCACTGGCCAGCATTGCTCACCTGTCAGGGCTGGTGGAGATAGTGAGCAGGCCACAGGGCTCCAGTGGCACCTGGGTGAAACTATTCCGCAATGGGCATGCCCGGCCGGTTTGTGAGGCCGAGATGGGGAGGCCGAGTCCCGGAACCACAGTCACCGTCTGCAACCTCTTCTACCGATTGCCAGTGAGGCAGCGCCGCCTTGGCCGGCCCCTGGAGTGGGAGCAGATCCGCCGCCGAGTGCAGGCTCTGAGCTTTCTCTACCCTGGCGTCTCGTTCACTGTACGCGATGAAGCCTCCTCTGTGGCTGGAGGCTCATTGGTGGTGAGGCTTCCCAAAGTCCGTAACCTTCAGGCCCGCTTTGCTCAGATCCATGGCCCTCAGCAGGCAGCAACACTATGCCGTATCCAGCACTCATCCAATGGTTTCCAGCTGAGTGGCTTCATCAGCTGTCAGGGCCACCACAGCAAAGCCCAGCGACTGGTGTTTGTCAACCAGCGACTGGTGCTTAAAACCCGTATCCACAAGGAGCTGGACTCACTGCTGAGGCGACACAGCTTAATCTGTCAGCCTGAACCTGGCACTGGGCCCCGGGGAGGCTCCGATCTTCACCCTGTCTATATCATCAACATCAACTGCGACCGTAGCCAGTATGATGCCTGCTGGGAGACAAACAAGACCTTGCTAGAGTTCACTGACTGGAATCTTTTGCTGAGTTTGCTGGAGGAGGGGGTCCAGGCCTTCTTGCGACAGGAACAGTTACTGGTTGACCCCACAGAGGAGCAGATTCCTGCCCCGCTACCTATTGCTGGCTTGGACTTCAGGTTCTCACATGAAAGAGTAGCAGTGCTGTCCAAATCAGTCCATCGGCAGGTGGTGGTTCCAAACAATCCAAGGTTGGCAGCAGATTCTGAACCCTGTGATGCTGTCTGTCAGGGACAAGTCTGTGACGACATCAAAGATCCAGCCTTGCATGCTCAACAGAGTGGCCTGTCCTGCATTAAATCCCCAAGGCACCGCCTTTGTTCTGCATTTCAAGAAACAGCTACAAGTGACAAGCCTCCATTGGAAAAGGAGGGAAGCATTTTGCTCAGAGACCTGAGTACACCGGCCAGCTCTCAGACACAATCAACACAGCAAGCACAGTCTGGCACACCTCTTTGCCTCCTCACAACTGACAATGAGAATAGGACCTTGTCAGTCACTGAAAGCCCCACACAAGAGGAGAAACAAGCAAAGGTGGGGATCGGAAAGCAGACAGGGGAACCACAGGGGGAGCAGGGCAGGGAGTCACTGGGGGAGCAGGCAGGGGAATCACAAGGGGAACAGGTGAGGGAGTTGCAGGGGGAGCAGGGAAGGGAGTCGCAGGGGGAGCAAGCAGGAGATGCGGGGCAGATGGGGGAATCCCGAAGAGAGCAGGCAGGAGGGGGGGAGCAAATGAGAGAAAGGGAGCAGATGGGGGATTCACAGGGGGAGCAGGCTGGAGAATCACACGGGAATCAATGGGTGGAGGAGCTGTGTGGGGAGCAGGAAGTTGAGGTGGAATGGCAGAAGGACGGGGTGCAGCGGGGAGAGAAGATGGTGGAATTGGGTACGACTGGTCTCATAACCCACAATGTCCCCAGAAAAACGATAGAAGTAGGCACTGTAAGTGTTAGCTCTTCAGACTGGGGTCATGTCCGTCGTCCGGGCCCAGTGAGTGCCTGGGAGATTCTGAATGAGAGGATGAGAATGGGAGATGGACAGCTCCTGCCTGATGACCGAGCGCTCTCAAATATATCTCAGAAAAGTGGGAGAGATATTCCCCGAGGTTCTGTGACTGACTGTCAGAAAATTCAGGATACTCATCAGTCTCATCATACATCTGAGAGCTTTGCTGAATCAATGATAATCTCTCAGAAGATGAATCTACCACAATATCACTCCAGTTTGGAGAACAGAAATCCTGTCAACTGTGAGCCCATGTGTTGTCAGGCGAGATTCCACAGAAAGCTGGGCATGTCTCTAATAACTGGATCTCTGGATGTATTTCGGAGAAACTATGGGAAAATCAATGATGACCAGGATGGTGGAGGCTCTTCTCAAGGCAGTGTACCTATTCAGGACAGTACTGGTGAAGCAACCAAAAGGCCATCACTGTCTAATGTGACTGTAACCCCAGGAACAGAGAGGCTATACCAGAACACCAGTATCGGATTTACTGGTTCTGTAATTAGTGACCAGAGTGAGAGTTTGCAGCTTGATCAGTGTGATTGCCATGGTCTTTTAAGGAATTTGTATTCAGTTGGAACTTTCCCAGTTACTGGTCGTGTGGCCAGGGCACATGTCACCCCGTTTGCAACGCCTGGTTATTCACAAGCCAAACAAACCTCTCCAGTTAGCAAGGAGCCTCGAAGAACCCTTGCTGCAAAATTGTCCAAGTTAAAGGACCTTAATAAAGGACAGCCTGCTGAAGAGAAAAGGGCAGAGTCCAAAGCAGGAAGTTCCCTCAGTTCTTGCCAACCTTGTGAGAGTTTCAATTACCTTCTTCAGCCAGAACAGCAGTGTGCAAAACCTCCAACTCTACAGCTAGCACACTCAGCTGTTCCGGTGAACTCTGAAAATTCTCCCCTTCGAGAAAGGGGAGTGAGTGAGGCAGACTGGCAGGAAGACAGGATCAGTGCAACAATTGAGAGAGTCCAATTCCTGAGTAACAGTAGATCTTGTCTTGTTAAGTTGCCTTGGCCTACAGTTGATGAAAGGACTGATAATGGAACAGACGCTCACTCTGGTCTGCAGGTTGGAGACCAATCTCAAGATGACAGAACAAGTGCTGTAAACTTGAACCTGCTTATAGAAGATTCTGTAGCCACGCAGAAAATGTCAGAACCAGTTTATATCCAAACTAACTCAACAGACGCTGAACAATTTCTGAGAAGCTGTGCCAAGGCCTGTAAAGGTCAAAGTGATCCATTGAAAAGTTTCTCTTCAGACTGGTTGCAGTACTTTGATGGATCCCTTGGGAAGATGGTGTATGTAAACAGCATGACTGGACTGAGTAGCTATGATGTCCCACCAGATGTCCAGGCAGAAGCAGCTTGCGTGAAAGACTTCACAACAATGCCAGTTAATGTTCTCACTAAGACTGGTGAGTTTGTAAAGAAATTATACTTTCCATCTTTCAAAATCACCTATCCCTCACACTCACATACAAACAACAACAGTTAATCTTGTTAATAATGGGAACTTCCACCCTAGTTCTCTCAAGGTTTGGTGTTGTAAAGTTCTCTCAGTCAGACCATACAAGCTGTTGAACCTCCTTCGCAACTTGGTAAGACCACAGTTGATCTTGATAACATATTACTGTGATTGCTGTAGAGCCCAAAAGTCTATCGATCTCAATCTGTAAGATCATACCCTTTAACCTCTATTTATGTCATTCATTCATTTAATTTGTTTTAAATCCTACACACATTTAAGATAAAGAGTCATTCATTTTGCCTTTTTATCATTTATTTCCACTTTTGATCCTATTTGCTGTTTTTATTATGTTTGCCCTCTTTACAGCCCTAGTTCAGAGAGGTTCAGTAGACTGACACCAGATATGGAAGAGAGATCTTATGAGGCGAGGTTGAGTAGATTGGGTCTTCACTTGTTGAAAGTTGGAAGAATGAGAGGTGACCTTATTGAAACATTGACGGTTCTTAGGGGACTTGACAGGGTAGATGTAGAGAGGTTGTTTCCTCTTGTGGGGAGGTTTAGGACCAGGGAGATGCAGGGGAGTGGGAACCAAAGAGTATTCTTAGATGGTTCAGATTCAGGTCAGGAAACAAGAGGTAGAACATTAGTCAGTGATGTAATCAGCAACTTGGCAAGACAGAAGAAATGAAGATTAAAAAGCTTCCAACAAAGGAATTTGACAGGATTGAGCTGTTTGTAATTCAATGCGAGAGAGAGGAATTAAAGGCACAGACAGACGCATGGCAGCACAATGTCATTGTTATAATGGAAACCTGGCTAAAGAAGGGGAAGAATTGGCAGCTCAATATCTCTGGATATAGAGTTTTCAGGCAAGATAGAGTGAGTGACAAAAAAGGAGGGGGTGGTAGTAGTATTGGTTAAGGAATCAATTACAATTGTGAGAATGGATGATATATTAAATGGGTTAACAAATGAGGTTTTATAGGCTGAGCTTAGGAATTAAAAATGGGCAGTAACGTTACTAGTATATCGAGAGCTCCCAAATAGTGAGAGGGAGATAGAAGAACACATGTATAGACAAATTTCTACCTATATGAATTAGAGGGCAGTAACAGTAGGAGACTTTAATTATCCCAATATCAAATGGGTTTCAAGCAATAGAAGGGGCATTGAGGGTGAAAAAATCATGTACTATGTCCAGGAAATGTTTTTAAACAGTACATGACAATTCTAACAAGAGGAGATGTAATTCTGGATTTAGTTTTGGGAAACGAAGGTGAGTAAGTGGATGAAGTGATACTGGGCGACTATATCCGGGATAGTGACCACAATTCAGTTATAGAACCTAGAACAGTACGGCACAGTACAGGCCCTTCGGCCCACGATGTTGTGCCGAACTTTTATCCTAAACCTAAGGTCTATCTAACCTCCACCCCTACTTTATACTGTCCTCTAGAGACCTATCTAATAGCTGCTTAAATGCCCCTAATGAGGCCGACACCACTACCCTCTCCGGCAACGCATTCCATGCCCGAACCACTCTCTGAGTAAAGAACCTACCTCTGATGTCTCCCCTATATCTACCTTCACTCACTTTAAAACTATGACCCTCGTAATAGCTACCTCCACCCTAGGAAAAAGTCTCTGGCTGTCTACTCTATCTATACCTCTAATCATTTTGTACATCTCTATCAAGTCACCTCTCATCCTTCGTTGTTTTAAAGAGAAAAGCCCTAGCTCTCTCAACCTTTCCTCGTAAGACCTTCCCTCCATTCCAGGCAACATCCTGGTAAATCTCCTCTGTGCCTTTTTCAACGCTTCCGCATCCTTCCTGTAATGAGGCGACCTAAATAATAATAAATAATAATAATCCAAATGTTATATTTAGGATTATTATGGAAAAGGACAGAGAATAGAATAGTATTGAATAGTCATTTATTGTCACTTGTACCTTTCACAAAATGAAAAGTGTTTAAGTCACCATATTACAGCGCCTATGTTAATAACAGAAGACAGAGATAAGAAAAAAAATAAGACAAAGCCAATTTATGGTTCCTGGATTCAGGAAAAAGCAGTACCGCTGCAAGACCACCGTGCCAGGCCGCTGAAATACCAGGCTGGAAGCTGCCGCCAAAGCAGGCCATCCATGCTGGTCTGGTGGAACGCTGGGCTGCAAGACTTTGTAGAAGCTGCCCCAAGGACCAATCTCGTCACCGATCTGGGGAAGGAAAATGTTGCAAAAGCTGCCTAAAGCATTCTTGAGCAAAAACCACTTCATTGCCAAAGCTGCTGCCACCCACCTGATCAAATCCTGGGCTGTGCTGCCAAAGACACCGAAGCAGACCACCACTGGACACGCCGCAATGGCCATGAGGAGCCACCATCACCGCTGTAGCAGCCACCCAAATCATCCCCCCCTCCGCCTCGCCAACATCGCTTCCGCTCATGTAGCAGCCAACAATGAATCTTTGTGCTTATCCCTCCCCCAGCCACCTCCTCGATGCCGCTGCCAGAGTCCTACTGTGGGCTCACCAGCCACTGCCACACTCTGTACCCTATTGAAGCTCCTTCCTACCGCTTTCTGCCAAAAAATGAGAAAAGGAAAAAAAGAAAAGGAGAGACAAAAAAAGAGTGGACGAGCCCTGGGCACAGATGATAAATCAGGAATAAAAGTTTTAAACTGGGAAAAGGCAAATTTTACAAAACTGAGAAGTGATTTGGCTGAGGTGGGCTGGACAAGGTTCCTAAAGGATAAATGAGTGGTAAGCCAGTAGGAAGGCACTAAAATGTGAGATTTCACAAAGCAGACTTGTCAGGCTCCCTTTGTCTAATGATGTTGAAAGGGTCCTTGACAATGTTTGAAACTACATTCTCTGTAAAAGTGTCTTCAGCCCCCTAAGTTTATAATGCCTTAGCTGGTGATTGGTGTGATTGGTCACGATGCATTGTCTACCTCTTGTTTTGCAACAGCCTTTACATTATTTAGACTAGTTCAAGCATAACCACAACATTGTCAGTAACATTTGTCTTAACTCTCACATTTTGTTCATTCTGGAGTCTGGCCTTAGGATGGATCCTCAGCAATTGTAGACCCCTAACCCAACTAATTTCAGCAACTCAGAGAGCAGGATGTTGTAAACTGGCAGCACGGGGGAGTTTCTGCTCTGTGTAACTGAGGCCCACACAGTGTTTTAATTGAAGTAGCTCTGCTGATTCCAATCATCAGCATTGGACAATGAAGATAACTAACTCATATATAATGCTGCTGAATCTCACGTACAAATATATGGCACTCTTCACACTGACTGTACAAGCAATCACAGAATCATACAGTCGAAGAGGCCCTTCGGCCCATCGAATCATCACTGACAAAAAAAAACACACTAAATCTACACTAGTTGCGCATTCCAGCACTAAGTTCATAGCCTTGAATATTCCGACATTTCAAGTGCTCATCTAAGTACTTTTTACAGATTGAGATTTCCCACCTCAACTATGCTCCCAGGCAGAGCAGTCCAGACCCTACCACCCTCTGATTGAAAAACTTTGTATTCAAATCCATCTAAACTTCCAGCCTTTCGTCTTAAAATTACTCCCCTTTGTTATGTACCTTTCAACTGAGGGGAACAGCTGCTTTCCATCCTCCCTGTCCATGTCCCTCATAATCTTATACACCTAGACCTGTTCCCCTTTCAGTTTTCTCTGCTTTAAAGAAAACAACCCAAAGGCAACATCCTGGTAAATCTTCTCTGCACCCTCTCCAGTGTTATCGCATCCTTCCTATAGTGTGGAGACCAGAGCTGTGGTCTAACCAGAATTCTGTTCTATTCAATATGTTTCTGGTATATATTTAATATTGCTCATTGCTTTCTCTGGCAGGTTTCCAATACCAGTGTTATCCATTCCGCAGCCATAGTCTTATCCCTTTCCTGCCACGGCCACGTGAAGAGAGACAGAAAGACAGAAGCGGTGAGGGATTACTAGTAGAGATGGAATTGGTTTAACTTGGTTCTAAATGGGACAGGGATGGCATCTCTGTGAACAATTTCAAACTCTAAAGCTTCAAACTCTTTCTTTCCTGCTTCAGGCATTTCACATCTAAGCCTCATGTTAATATGTTTCCAGGTCAATGTTTATTAAGTTCGAGTTCTGAGCTGTGAGCTTGGATGTGCAATTCTGTGGTTTGTCAGCCAAGGGTGAAACTAGATAGCCTGCATCATCCATGATTTGTTGTTGAGAGAGTGGAGTTGGAGTTGAGGAGAAAGTTTTGGGACAGAACCTCAAAGGTTCTTGCTGTTCATCTTGTTCCTCGTCCCCGGGTTCCTTTGCCTTGTAATTCCGCTCTTGGTCTGAGTTACTGTCCATCTCAACACTGGTTCAACATGAACTTGGGGTTGTCGTCCAATATCCCCTGCATCAGGACCAGGAGACACAAATTATAATTGAGGTACAGTCCACATTGTGAATATATTGAATGTTACCGTATGGGTTTGGTCTGTTTGGACAGGTACCCAGTCAGGATCAAGTGATTCTCTGCAGTCACTGTTTCGGGAGTGGACAAATCCAGTCTTTCTTCGTCCTCCAGAGGTAGGATCTTCCTTGTGTGGCTGTTTCTTGAAGTATCCAACTGATTAGTGGGCCCTGTTCATCCATCCTGTGCTGAACGGCCTATTGACTATTACTCCACACTTTCTCAATTTTCAACCACATTTTCAAGTCCTTCCAAATCCTCTTCACTTCTACGCAATCATCTGCGAAGTCACAACATCTTCTGCATAGAACATAGAACAGTACAGCACAGTACAGGCCGTTCGGCCCATGATGTTGTGCCGAACTTTTACCCTAAACCTAAGGTCTGTCTAACCTCTACCCCTACCTTATACTATCATCCATATGCCCATCTAATGGCCGCTTAAATGCCCCTAATGAGGCCGACTCCACTACCCTCTCCCTAACTGCAGTTACATTGTGGCTTGGTATAGCAACTGCGCTGCCCCAGACCGTCATGCAAACCAGCCTCGTTCCATTGACTCTATCTATACTTCCCGCCAACATAATCAAAGACCTGTACCACCTTGGTTATACTCTCTTCCATCCTCTTCCATCGGGCAGAAGATATAATAGTTTGAAAACACGTGCCAACAGATTCAAGAATAGCTGCTTCCTCACTGTTATCATGCTTATGAACAGACTTCTCATATATTAGAGTTGATCTTTCTCAACACCTTCACTGTAGCTGTAACATTATATTCTGTATTTGGTTCTATTACCATGATGTACTTACGTAAGATATGATTTGTCTAGGTAGCATGCAAAAATAATACTTTTCACTGTATCTCAATGATAAATCAAATCAAATTAAAAACAGGGTCACAGAGGGGTTGAATCAGGTCTGGAGTCAATCAGAGACTGGGTCAGGTACGGGGTCGGTCAGAGACTGGGTCAGGTACGGGCTCGGTCAGAGACTGGGTCA